ATACATTTATACTCATGTAAACTGTGGCGACAATAAATCTGTTTACTCATCCATCCATCTATCATCTATCTATCCATCCATCCATCTATCCATCTTTATATATCCATCTATCATCTATCTATCCATCCATCCATCCATCTTTATATATCCATCTATCGCCTATCTATCTATCCATCTATCCAACCATCCATCTACCCATTTTTATCTATCCATCCATCCATTCATCCATCTACCATCTATCTATCTTTCTATCTTTACACATCCAACTATCATCTATCTATCTGTCTATCATCCATCCATCCATCCATCCATCCATCTACCCATTTTTATCTATCCATCCATTTATCTATCTACCATCTATCTATCTTTATATCTTTATATATCCATCTATCATCTATCTACCTATCATCCATCCATCCATCCATCTACCCATTTTTATCTATCCATTTATCTATCTACCATCTATCTTTCTATCTTTATATATCCGTCTATCATCTATGTATCTATCCATCCAACTATCTATCTATCCATCCATCCATCTATCTGTCTATCTATCTGTCTATCCATCTATCAATCCATTTATCTATCTAAATATTTACCCACTTTTCTATCTATCCATCCATCCATCCATCTTTATATATCCATCTATCGCCTATCTATCTATCCATCTATCCAACCATCCATCTACCCATTTTTATCTATCCATCCATCCATTCATCCATCTACCATCTATCTATCTTTCTATCTTTACACATCCAACTATCATCTATCTATCTGTCTATCATCCATCCATCCATCCATCCATCCATCTACCCATTTTTATCTATCCATCCATCCATCCATTTATCTATCTACCATCTATCTATCTTTCTATCTTTATACATCCAACTCTCATCTATCTGTCTATCATCCATCCATCCATCTACCCATTTTTATCTATCCATCCATTTATCTATCTACCATCTATCTATCTTTATATCTTTATATATCCATCTATCATCTATCTACCTATCATCCATCCATCCATCCATCTACCCATTTTTATCTATCCATTTATCTATCTACCATCTATCTTTCTATCTTTATATATCCGTCTATCATCTATGTATCTATCCATCCAACTATCTATCTATCCATCCATCCATCTATCTGTCTATCTATCTGTCTATCCATCTATCAATCAATTTATCTATCTAAATATTTACCCACTTTTCTATCTATCCATCTGCTTATCTATTTATCTGTCCTTCTCCTTCTACTTTTCTTTCCAAATTTCCATCTATCTAGCTATCTATCCATCCTTCCACCCATTTATCCACCTGTCTTTGCGTCTCTGTATCAGAATCCCACAGTCAGTCAGGAGTGTGAAACAGCTCTAGTGCCCTCTAGAGGCTCAGGAGCGGAACTGCAGCACTGAGGGGAAAACAATGGAGCTCCAGCGGCCATCTGGAGCCGAAACAGCGCAGCCAAACTGGCCCGCCGGCCCCACAGCCCAAACAGCGGAGCCAGCTGGTCACTCTTACAGAGAAATAAAGGGGGCGGATGAACGGGTGGAAGAAAAAACAGTCCTGTGATCTTTAGGGTTTTAGCTGTGTGGGAAACGGTGTGGATTAATCAGAGGGAGAGAGAGGGAGAGAGAGAGAGAGAGAGGAGAGAGGAGAGAGAGAGAGAGAGAGAGCACAGGTGTCCGTTTTAGACAAATGAAATTTCACTGAGAAACACAATAGCAAACAGGATAACCAAACAGCTGTGAGCATCAGACAAAAACAGCTCTCGGTTCAGTAAAGGCAGATATCTGACATTAATACGGTCAGGTCACGAAGGGGTCACGCTAAGAATACGGTCAGTGGTGTTTTTAAGGGAGAGGCTTATTATCATCGTTTTGCTATATATTTAGAAAACAATTACATTAAATTCATTACAGTTACACTCTGCATTCGGCAGGTTCGAGTCTGCACTTCTGATTCGTTCTGTTTTGATGTCAAACACTAACAAAAAAATGTAAAACAACAATCAAACAATCAAAGCAATGACATCGAATTCAAATCATAATGTCTCCACTTCAACATACAGCATGAATGTGGCACTGATCGGACGTTTAGAAGCTGCACTTTCCACACAATTTCTCCTCTCGTTTCAGTGAGCTTTGAGTCCTGAGAATCCCAATCTGATCAGAAAAATCAATATCACAGCCAATAAAGCATATTTATTGAATTGGTCTGCCTTCTTATCACTGTAGTCCAATTAACACTGGAAAAATAAATAAATAAATCTTAAAAAAAAAAAAAATGGTGTCTTAAACTGTAAGTAACTGCTCTAGAATAAAATTAGTTAAAGTTAACAGAACTTTCAACAGATTTAATTCAATTTTACTGCAGCACACTTGCTTTTTAGGTTAATGCGCCAACTTTTGTGGTGAAACAAGCAGCAGACAGTCAAACAGTCCTTAAAGAGATGCTCCTCCAACTAATCAGACCCCCCCATTACTCTGAAGTCGGCTTCTTTAGGTTTGTATTGGAGCTACAAGGCTAATGTTGCTAACAAGCAGTGCTGAAAGTAATGAGTTAAAAAGTATTTCCACTACTTTTGGCGCTAACAAGTAATGTATCTAATTACCTTTCAAAATAAATTACACAATTACAATTACTGAAATTTAAACAGCCTCGTTACTTGTTTGCATTGTTTGACAATATTAATGCACAGCTGCAGCCTATAGCAGACAAACGCAGCTTCCTGTTTATGATCTGATGTCACCCGACCTCACGGTGGCGCAATGAATGAGTGAATCTATCAGCGTTAGCCCACACAGTGGCCGACGGTTCAGTGTGAGCTCGCTACGGCCGTTATTTCTCCCTCCTCAAGATCAGGGACAATAATACACTGTGAGCTGTGGTTCATGTGGAGGTGTGAGAACTTTCTCCACCCCAAAGAATCACAACTCTGAACTTCTGAAGCATCTGGTACAACAACACCCTTCTGAGGCTCCCAAGTGGAGCAACCGTCTAAGCCAGAGGTCACAACCCAATGTTAAAAGGAGTCATTTTGTCCTTTCAACAAAAAAAAAAAAAATCCACTTTGGGAGCCACAACAGTTTAAGCCCATTTTACCATCTTGGCTGTAAATATGTCTCAGTATGTGTTGATGTTCTAGTATAGGCTAAAAATATAATATAAACAAAAACACAGACTTACTTTGCTCTGCTTTAATCTTTAGCTCAGCTATAGCTGCTTTTCTCGCATCTCCAGCAGGAAACTTTTCCAAAAGTAGAACAGTTTCTTGTAAAACGTCTCTCAACGTTTGACTTTTTATGAGGCTGAAGTCGCTTCACATTCTCCAGCTTCTTGTTCGAATTTTCCCATTCCATGTTAAATCTCAGCCTGAGGGGCCAGAATGTAACTGTGGCACCATTTAAGGTGGAACGGGACAATTAGAACGAGAAGCTGGCGAATGAGAAGCGACTTCAGCTTTGTGACGTTTTAGTGTTTCAGTTTCTCACTGCAGATTAAACGTATCAGGAAACCAGCTGGAGTGATTATAAACACTAATAAGTCCATTAATCTCTAAATTATCGATGTTGGTCTTAAATCTCTCTCTTTGCCGTTTCTTTAGCTACTAGCTAGGCGAGACTGTTGTCTGTGTTGCTATGGTGACCAGCAGTCTGCGCTGATCTTCAGGGTTAAAGGGTGAATCAGCAGTTCTACATTAACTCCAGAGTTTAAGACCATTTATTGTTAAACTGTGTTGAACGATCAGCAGAGCTTTATTTTACTGTAAAGGAGGATTATTTTATTTTTACCTACTAATCTGATTCAGCTGTGGAGCCGCATGCTGCCGACCCTGGTCTAAGCGTTGGCTCTATCATCAGGAAATCATGCGTTTGATCCCTGGTGATGCTACAGCCGTCCGTGGCCGGAAGTCCAAGAAAGCACAATTGGCCTCGCTCTCTCTGGGTGGGCAGGATGGCCCCCCATCTTCCCCACCTTGCTAGCCTGCGCAGGTGTCTGTTAGCTGTCATAACAGAACTGGTGGTTAGTGCTCTCCTCCAAGCGTGCTGAAGCTGTCCAATGACGGCAGTTTGAAAAGATGTGGTGGTGCTTCACAGGACTCAGAGAAAGTCCGTGTTTGCCTTCATTTTCCTAGCGCTGATGGTATCGTGTGACTGGGGGGGTTGGATATGACTAAACTGGGGAGAAAATTGGAAAAAATCCCCCCAAAAAATAACACGCTTCTAAGCTAATCACGAAAACTGACCAAGGATCCACTCTAAGAATTCATCTGCACCACCTGTAAACCAGGCAGAACTGAACAGACTGATTGGCAAATATGAAAACACGCCAACAGTTAGAACAGGGGTGTCAAAATCAACCACTAACAGGGCCATATTAAAAAATCTAATCAAACCCAAACCTGTAGGACAGCTGCGCTTTTATTTAATTTTTACTTAACATTTTGCCATGACCTCAACTGGCCACCGGTTATTCAAAATATGCCAAAACTACAACAACAAAAAATAGGCACTCATGCTTAAACAATTCAAAAATAATTTTAAATAACAACAAATTATTTTATATATATACACCACTAGACTACATTAGCTTCAGAACTGTTAAACCTCTTTAAATGTAAATGTTTAAAATTCATTTATTTATTTATTTTTGTGGTGCTGTCCCATTGATCATTGCTGGGGATGTGGGAGCACACAGTACTTTGCAGTGCATGCTGGGAACTGTAGTGCAGCTCATTGTGAAATGGGCTAATATTAATATTTGCGGACTGAATAGGATTGTGCCACGGGCCTAATTTCCCCCGCGGACCGTGTGTTGACACATGGGAGACATGGGAATGTCAACATTCGGAAGTAATGCGAGAGTTACTTTCCCTACTGCTAAAGTAATTCAGTTACTTTGGAAAGAAGTAATTAGTACCTGTAACTAACTGGCAATTTTCAGTGACTTGATCAACAGCTACCAAGTAACAGAAGTCTATCCGATCCTTCTTACCTCCTCATCCTTTGTGTTGACGTCTACTTTCTTCGAGCTGAGCGCTTTGCTGACCTGCTCGATGTTGTTCTCTCTGCAGTAGTCAAATATGTTCTTATCTTCCTCCCTGGAGACGCGCAGAGTAAAGAGATCTCAGTTACTGCAGAGTCATTACTGTCATCACTGCAACAGCACGCAGTGGAGACGTAACACCACAGTTCTGAAACAGATCTAATGATATGTTAGAATTTGGGTTAGAATAATTACGATTAATCACATTTGTCTGATTTGCTCAAATTTGACCTTATTTAGTTCCATTTAAGAAGCAGTGCATTCAGTTACAGCCATAAGGAGACAAAATGAGCTTCATCAGGATGTACACAAAAGCTCGAACACCCCCGGACCAAATTACGCAACCTCTACAAGGAATAAACTTAAATACGACATTTACTGCTAGTCACAATTTCTATTTACAAAACATATAAAATGTGCCAAAGTTTTACACGGCAACATTTTATGTTTGATTTTTCCCCCAATATGTTAAATTCAGCAAATGAACATGAACGTAATTGTGCATTAAAGGTAGATTACCTGTAAAAAGATAGTTACAGTTTACAATGAACAGTATATAATAACTGGAAATCCTTGAAATATATGTATATCAAGGATGTTGAGTTATTATATACTTCACAGACACACACAAATGTATATATTATATTTTTTGACATAATTTGAAAATACCTATTGCCCTTTACATTATATGTAAATTTCATGATGAATGGACTAAAAGAAATGGCCAAAAATGACTTGGAAAAAATTCTGGTTCCATTGACATTAAAGTAAAGTTTGTTTTTTTCCTTCTCCTGTAAAGTTACCATTTTGGAGATACGAGGTTTTCTTCCAAAAACAGTGACATTAAATATATATATATATATATATATATATATATATACATATAAATATATACACACAGCTTGATTTGACTGTAATTAACTTAGACTTTCATAATGATTTAAAAATTTGAACGTTTACATTGAGCCTTAAAAGAATCGTGAAATACAAGAACCACCCTGTTTATCAATAAGAGCAGAGCGGTCAGTGCACACACACACACACACACGCACACACACACACACCACACACACACACACACACACACCGATCTGCTCTGTGGTGTCTCTGAGTCGTAGCAGCTCTAATTATTTCTCTCTCCGATCACCTCCTCAGGGTGGGGTTAAGTCATACGGCGGGGTGATTACCAGATAAATTAATACATTTCCTCTGCAGGATCTGATTAATCACATTTTCAGTTCTACTCTGTGGCACTGAAACCCACCAACACCTCCAAACACTCACACACACTCACACACCACACACACACTTACACTCACACACTCACACACACTCACACACTTACACTCACACACTCACACACTCACACACCACACACACACACACACTCACACACACACTCACACACCACACACACACACTCACACCCACTCACACACCACACACACACTCACACCCACACACACACTTACACTCACACACACACACTCACACCACACACACACACACACACACACACACACACACTCACACCACACACACACTTACACTCACTCACACACACACACAGTCTGTATGTCTCGTTCTACTTTAAATAGGTAATTCTTTTATTGACGTAATTTTCCAATTTTTTTTATTTTTTGTAACTTTTTCTGTAAATTTACTTCTGAAATTCTGAACTGACTCATTCTGTAAATTTAATTATTAAACTGACTAATTCTGAACATTCATTTCTGAAAACCTTTAATTCTGTAACTGCTAATTCAAATCTAATTCTGTATTTTTTTATTCTGTGATTTACTATTTCTGGAACACCTGAAAATCATTGTGTAATTTACAACTGTAACTTTGCAATTCTGTAAATTCTTGATTTCTTAAACACACAAAATTTGTACAAGAAATTCTGGAAATTTTTGTGTTTATTCTGTAAATCCTTTTACAGAATTTTACAGCTTGGTTCAACGTCTGTTTCTTTGTTGCTGATTTAACTCTGTGATTACCCTCAGCATTAACAAAACTGCTTTCCTTCCATCCATCCATCCATCCTTCCATCCATCCATCCTTCCATCCATCCATCCATCTATTCATTTGTCTATGTATCCAATGAAGTATTAATGGGCGCTTTAGTAACTGATTTATTGCTGTTTGGAAGATTAAGAGCGTATATTTCAATATTACAGCTACATAAAAGTCATATACTGTATGATCTATGATGTCATACGACAGCGCTCAGTCAGGCATCTCTGATCTGATGAATCTAATTAGTTTCTGTGGATAATTTGTTATTAACGATAAATATCGGCAGATCAGATATCTGTGTGTGTGTTGTGTTGTGCTGTTGGCATCATTCATCCCCGAGGGTGACTAATCAATAGAGAAGCTCATTTATCAGCACACACACACACACACACACACACCACCACACACACCACACACACAATTAATGAGTGGCTGATAAATGACGTGACATCAGTCCTGCCGCTGAGCACGCTGGGAAGGTCACTAGCCGCTCTGTCTTCCTGTGCTGCCGTGTTAAACACTCCTCACTGACCTGCTGTGTGTGTGTGTGTGTAGCCACGTTTTACCTGGGAATTTAAAGGGCCCATGTACACCGGTCAGGCATAACATTCTGACCACCTCCTTGTTTCTACACTCATTGTCCATTTTATCAGCTCCACTTACTATATAGGTGCACTTTGTAGTTCTACAGTTACAGACTGTAGTCCGTCTGTTTCTCTGATACTTTGTTAGCCCCCTTTTATCCCTGTTCTTCAGTGGTCAGGACCCCCATGGACCCTCACAGAGCAGGTACTATTTGGGTGGTGGGTCATTCTCAGCACTGCAGTAACACTGACGTGGTGGTGGTGTTTTAGTGTGTGTTGCGCTAGTACGAGTGGATCAGACACAGCAGTGCTGCTGGAGTTTTGAAACACGTAGTCGGTCAGTGTTCTTTAAGTACTGACGATATCCAAGATAAGCTCCGAAAAGCGTAGTGACATAACTTATCACATTAACGATAAAATGTTGTCCAATTGCCCAGCAGCATGTATGTCGTCACTGTCCAAAGAAAAACGTATCTCCAAATTAGTAACTTTACAGGAGAGGGCAAAAACTGTCTTTACTTTCAATGTAAGTTAATGGAAAGAGATTTTATTGTAAGCAATTTTGGAGCGTTTTTATTGGTCCAATCATCGTGAAATTTTCACACAATGTAAAGGACAGCTGCTGAGCTCAAATGATGCAGAAAAGGAAAAATCGCAAAGAATGGAGATACATGTTTTTATTGGACAGCGACGATATATAAAAAAAAACAAAACAAAGTAAATCAGTTGAAATTGTAAATATTTTTTCTGAATTGAAGTCAAAAAGGATTTGAAGATCACTGCTGTTTTTTTTTAACTAGCATTTTATCTTCTGTACCAACTTTTGTGGAATTGGTTTTGTACACACACTCACGCAAAGTCTTTCGCACACATGTGACCGTGACCTTTGCTGTATTTGCACTGGATTCATTTCTCCCAGCACATAAAACTGTATAGCCCTGACAAGTGTGAGGAACTTTGAAGTATACATATGAATTTGAAGGTTATAATTATATAAAGTAAGTACAAGGCAGCCTAACTAAAGTGTTACCCTTTATTTTTCTCCCAGAGATCCATCCATAACATCCGTGTGCTTTTATGTACCAAAATCCATAATTAATTTTTACATGACAATTTTCCAACTTTCTCTTTAGAATTAAACCACCTGTTGTTCTTACTGCACTTTAAGACTGATACATGTATGTGTAAACGATCAGTTCTGGCTGCCCTGCATTTAAGCTGCCAAATACTTGGAATCTGGGGCGTCCAGGATTCCCAGTTAACCTCTTGGACCCCCTGAATGTCTCCAAATGAAAGTTCTGGGGGTCCCTGAAAATAAACGTATTATAAAGTCATGGCGTTCATTAGGGGTAAAATAGATGCTCAAATCCAGATTCAGTGAAGCTCATTGTTTATCTGCTTCACCCACAATCAGCTTCTGTCTCTGGTGCTCTTAACTAACTAGAGCTGCAGCTCTGCTCTGCCTCAGGGTGGCGCTGTAGCAGACTGGCTCACCCAGTTGGTCCTTCATAGCCTAGAAACTGTAACTCTGCCCGGATTCCTCTGAAAAGCTTTACAATGAGCTGCAGCAGATCTGTAAATCTGAAAACTCGCCCAGTTTCCCAAGAGTTTGGAGTGAAGAGTGACTGTTCCTCATTTCTCACACTGAAGACAGAAGAGGAGACGAGGAAGATCTCAGTTACTGTGAGGAAGAGCGCAGAACCGCACTAGAACAGAGACTCTACAGAAGAGGAGACGAGGAAGATCTCAGTTAATGTGAGGAAGAGCGCAGAACCGCACTAGAACAGAGACTCTACAGAAGAGGAGACGAGGAAGATCTCAGTTACTGTGAGGAAGAGTGCAGAACCGCACTAGAACAGAGACTCTACAGAAGAGGAGACGAGGAAGATCTCAGTGACTGTGAGGAAGAGCGCAGAACCGCACTAGAACAGAGACTTTACAGGAGAACAGCTGATAAAACAAATATTTTACGGTCCCTGAAGCATCAGCGCTGCTATGGTGGGTGAGTTAGCAGCCAATATGGGACCCCTGAATATTAGGGGGTAACTTTGGTGTGAATTTAAGTTTAAGTTCACATATTAAATCAAACTATTCTTCTCTATTTAAAAAAGGGAAATTTAGATTTTATTGATTTAAACAATCAAACTTCAGACAGTAAACATGTCTTGGCTGATTGACTACATCTGGGGTAAAAGGGGGAGCCGTGTAAATTTGACTTTTCACTGAACTATGGCTTTAATAAACAGCAGAGCTTAAAGATGGAGGCTCACACCGTCAGCTGCTGCTCTCTGGATGACTAAAGCAGATGTAATTAAAACTCAAATCAAATCATTAAAGGGTCGAAATCAGATGTTAAAGAGGCCGCGCCTTTAATACGGCTGAGGACTCTCATCACAGCTCCGGCAAATTAGAAAGCAGCGAAGCAGTGAGTGAGACGGCTGAGAGAGAGAGAGAGAGAGAGAGAGAGAGAGAGAGAGAGATAATGAGAAAGCGACAGTAAGAGACAGAGACAGTAAGGAGAGAGAGAGTAAAGAGCAAGATGGAGGGAGAGAGAGCAAGAGAAATAGAGAAGAAAGAGAGAGGAGAGAGAGAAAAAAAGAGTGTAGAGAATGACAACGAGAGAGAAAGTAGAGAGAGGTAGAGAGAGAGTAAAGAGAAAGATGGAAGGAGAGAGAGAGCAAGAGAAAGAGAAAAAGAAAGAGAGGAGAGAGAGAGAAGAAAAGAGTGTAGAGAAAGACAAATAGAGGGAGAGAGAGAGTAAAGAGAAAGATGGAGGGAGAGAGAACAAGAGAAAAAGAAGAAAGAGAGGAGAAAGAAAAAAGAAAAGAGCAGAGAACGAGAAAAGAGAGAGGAGAGAGAGAAAAAAGAAAAGGGTGTAGAGAAAGAAAGACAAAGAAAGTAAAGAGAGTCAGGGATAGAGAGTAAAGAGAAAGACGGAGGGAGAGAGTGAACAAGAGAAGAAGAAGAAAGAGAGTAGAGAAAGAAAAAAGAAAAGAGTGCAGAGAAAGACAGAGAGAGAGAAAAAGTAAAGAGGAAGATGGAGAGAGAGAGAGCGGGAAAAGAGAAAAGAAAAAGAGTGCAGAGAAAGACAGAGATAGACAAAGTAAAGAGAAAGATGGAGAGAGAGAGAGAGCAGGGAAAATAGAAAAGAAAAAGAGTGCAGAGAAAGACAGAGAGAGAGAAAGTAAAGAGAAAGATGGAGAGAGAGAGTGGGAAAAGAGAAAAGAAAAAGAGTGCAGAGAAAGACAGAGAGAGAGAGAAAGTAAAGAAAGACGGAGAGAGTAAAGAGAAAAATGGAGGGAGAGCAAGAGAAACAGAGAAGAAAGACAGAGAGAGAAAAAAGTGTAGAAAGTGACAAATAGAAAGTAAAGAGAGTCAGGGACAGAGGGCAAAGAGGAAAGATGGAGGTAGAGAGAGCAAGAGAAAAAGAAGAAAGAGAGGAAAGAGAGAAACAAGAAAAGAGTGTAGAGAAAGGCAAATAGAGAGAAAGTAAAGAGATGGAGAAAGAGGGAGAAGAGAAAGACAGAGAGAAAAGGAGAAATAAAGAGCAAGACAGAGTGCAAGAAAATGAGACTGATGAAAAGAAAGTAAGAGAAAAAGAGAGAGCGAAGAAAGACAGAAAAGAGAGAGAAGAGAGTGAGAAAGAAAAACAGAGACAGTAAAGAGTGAAGAGAGAGAGAGAGAGAAAAAGACAGAGAGAAGAGAAAGAGAGAGAAAAAAAAACATCTGTTAATTACTTCTTTTCCAGCTTTCCCAAAGGAGTTAGTGACATCACTGCCAGGGGAGTGAACAAGTGTTACGCCCGTCCACCCATTCATTTCATTCATCCATTCCATCCATCTATTCAACCCCTGTTCATTTCATCACCACCATTCCAAAAAAAACCCCAGAAATTCTAATTAAAATCAGGAGCTGCGCATATGAATGCATATTAATGAGTGCAAGTGTGGGAGTTCAGTATCACTGGGTTTGGGTGGAAGAGCAGCAATCAGCATAAATCTGATCTCATTACAGATAAAATACACGATAAACACAACAGGTAATAATACGACCTCTACTGTTTCATTTAAAAAGCTCTATAATGTTCATATGATCCACACAGTCACTCTGACAGACTGTAATACGCTACAGGAAGTGTAGGGGGCGATATGGCTTCTACTGTTTCATTTAAAAAGCCTCTATAACGTTCATATGATCCACACAGGCACTCTGACAGACTGTAATACACTACAGGAAGTGTAGGGGGCGATATGGCTTCTACTGTTTCATTTACAAAGCCTCTATAATGTTCATATGATCCACACAGGCACTCTGACAGACTGTAATACACTACAGGAAGTGTAGGGGGCGATATGGCTTCTACTGTTTCATTTACAAAGCCTCTATAACGTTCATATGATCCACACAGTCACGCTGACAGACTGTAATACACTACAGGAAGTGTAGGGGGCGATATGGCTTCTACTGTTTCACTTAAAAAGCCTCTATAATGTTCATATGATCCACACAGTCACTCTGACAGACTGTAATACACTACAGGAAGTGTAGGGGGCGATATGGCTTCTACTGTTTCATTTAAAAAGCCTCTATAATGTTCATATGATCCACACAGTCACTCTGACAGACTGTAATACGCTACAGGAAGTGTAGGGGGCGATATGGCTTCTACTGTTTCATTTAAAAAGCTCTCTATAATGTTCATATGATCCACACAGTCACTCTGACAGACTGTAATACACTACAGGAAGTGTAGGGGGCGATATGGCTTCTACTGTTTCATTTAAAAAGCCTCTATAACGTTCATATGATCCACACAGTCACTCTGACAGCAGATACTCCTCTGAGAGCAGATACTCCCCGCTGCAGAGAAGTTGTGCTCTGATGGAGCGGATGGGAAAGTGGAGAATGTTTGTGGCAAACCTCTCTACGAACAGTTGAACAAACAATTTTGTGTAAACATTTCATTTCAATCGTGACCCTTCGCCCAGCTGCCCTGTGTGTTTGTGGAGAACTACGTCCTGAAACTGAAGCCAAACGTTCGCCAAATTTGAACACAAGGGGGCCTCGACATTAAGACGACAATGCAGCGTTTAAAAGTGTAAACATTATCTGGAACGTGAACAGGGCTGCTGTGAATAATAGTTACTTGCTTGCGTATCTTACTGAGCAGAGTCTTCTTCATACAGTGAGCTGATGCGTTTCCTCTTCAGACGCTCCAGCATGGAGGATCTGCTCTGTGCCAGCTGAGGTCGGCTTTACAAACAGCACAACTGACGACCTTTTTTCTGAGTTTAGCTTCGCACTTTTGAGGATTTTGTTCTTGAGACTGACATCACGCTTTTGTCAACTCTGCAGTGAGCGGTAATGTCAAAACATTACTAGTGAGAAAGACGCATGACGACGTCACCAACTACTCGACTATTAAATTAGTTGCCAACTAATTTGGTCGTCGATTTTGGTCGACTAAGTCAAATAATCGTTGCACCCTAATTCACACTAATATATCGCTGTTGTTGGAAGAAAACCTCGTATCTCCATTTTTGTCGTTTTTCAGTTTTTGACATAATTTGAAAATACTTGTTACTAGGGGTGGGAATCTCTAGGCACCTCACGATTCGACTGCGATTCAGAGGCTGCGATGCGATTATAAAACGATTATCGATGCATCTTTTTTTTCTATATAGCATTTATATTTTCTCACTGTGTGAGCTCAAGTTCAAGTTTCAAGTTTATTTGTCTACTCTACAGAAAGTAAATAAGTAAAAATAAAAATACAAGAAAAAACAACTGAAATACATTAAATATACACAGAATATAGAGACAATATACATTTTAAAGTGACTAAGTGACTCAGTGTTGTTATTTAAAGTGATTTTTAAAGCAAAGTATCTGTAATGATCCATAATGAATTTACTTCCAATATCTTTTATTAATAAATCAAATGGAAGTGATGTGGTAAGTGAACTGGAAGGCTCTCATTCAGTGCTCTTGTTTGGAGCACTGAGAAGCTGCTGCCACTCATCTGTGATAAAATGCGCAGTTACGGTGAAATAAGATCCAGTGGTGATGGACGACCACGCAGCGCGTTACAGCTATTCTACCTGCTTTCTTCAGTGATTTTATCACTTCGGTTTTGGTCTCGTTGTAGAGACGGGGGGGGTGGGTCGCTGTGTCAGTAAAGTGTCTTTGAGACGGGTCGTGTGCAGCATAGTGCGAAAGCCCTGTTTCACGACTGAGAACCGGCGCACAGACTGCAGGTCACATAGCAGCGATGCGTTATTCGCGTTCATAAGCAGCACAGTTGGTTTCCTGGTCCGTTAAATCTGCAACGAGAGACTGTCACACAGTAAAAAGTGGCGAAGCTGAAGTCGCTTTTCTTTCGAATTCTCCCGTTCCACCTTAAATGGTGCCACATTTTCATTTGGCGCCTCAGTTAGAATTTAAGGTGGAATGGGTAAATTCGAACAAGAAGCTGGAGAATAAGAAGCGACTTCAGCCTCGCAAAACAGTCGAACACTGAGACATTTAACTGATCAACTTCTGAGGAAAAGTTTTCTGGCGGAGATGGGAGGAAAGCGGCTACAGCTGAAGCTTAAAGCAGAGCGGAGTAAATCTGCGCTCTCGTTTATATTGTTTAGCCTCTACTAGGACATCATCACACACTGACACATACTGGACATTAAATGTTGTGGCTCCCAAGGTGGCTTGATTTTTGTTGAAAGGTCAAAATGGCTCTTCTTATCATTTGTGTTGTGACTCCTGATCTAACCTGGCTTTAATGCAGAGGGAGCCGGTCGGATTTCTCACTCATCCAGTGGTGTTTTTGTTATGTGCCGCCACAGACTGTCCGGACGCTGCACTTACCCACTTCCAAGTTCCGCCTTTTGCGTTCCATCAAAATTACGTTATAAATTAAATATTTAGAAAATCAATTTTTGACATTTGTGAATTGATTCAGAATCGTTCACGTCCGCATCGCGATGCATCTAAGAAACGATTTTTTCCCGCACCCCTACTTGTTACCCTTTACCTTCTATATAAATTTCATGATGAATGGACCAAAAGAGACGACCCAAAATGACTTGGAAAAAATTCTAGTTCCATTGACTTACATTAAAAGTAAAGTAGCTTTTTTTCTTCTCCTTTAAAGTTACCATTTCGGAGATACGAGGTTTTGTTCCGACAACAGCGAAATACATCCTGATGAAGCTTATTTCTTCCACTCATACAGCTGTAACAGAAGGCACTTCTTTTAAATGGAAAACATGTTTTTTAGGGTCAAAATACAGCAAATAAGGCAAATGAGATTGGCTGCAATTACCTACACAATACAATGATTAATCATGATGAATTACTTCACTTGTTTTACAGCTCTTTATGTTAGTGAGAGGTGCGTTTGTGGATGTTTACCTGATCATCTCTTCCTGGTACAGACAGCTGACCGCTGCTCCTCCGAACGCCGTCCTCCGCTCGCCTCTTCGCTCTGAAGACTACAGACACAAGAGCGATGCCTTAATTTATTTAAACCCTTATATATTCTGTGAACACACAGAGGGAGAACCCTCATTTACAGTGCAGCTGAGTGCAACAAGTACAAGAACCATACAGTACTGTGAAAAAGTCAGAGACCCCCCCCCTTCATTTCTTTAATTTCCAGTCAAAATAGCCATTCAGCCACAAGCTCTTCCCCATTTCAGCATGAAACTGCATACCCAAAGTAAAGGGGGCGCTGTTCCCACATACTCTGGAATACAGTTATGATTTCAGTCTCATTTGAAAGGAAACATCTCAACATCAGAATAACTGTATGAATTACTGACTCAGAGTAACAGAGTCTAGAATGGAGGAGTTTATTTCCTCCTGACTCAGATCTCCAAACTGATCTCTGACTCTTGCTGTTATCAGACCTCATGTTTTGGATTATGGTGTCTCTGTGGAGGCGGCGAGGCTCTGAAGGTGAGGAACCACAGATTTTCTGTTCGCTCATTCAGCTGCAAAGTAGACGATCGTAACTGCTGTGAATAACGGATCATAAAACGGTTTGCGGGAATCAAACCCTGAGATTTAAAGCTTTCTAATGGTATGTCACATCACTGTGTCGCTGGACGATTTGATGTATAAAATTATATTTAAAAAATGGAAGTGAAACGCTTCGAAAAAGGTGTGTTGGTACCGATACAGTGATCTAGAATTAAAAAACGCCCACACTTACATTGCTGAAAGGGCTTTTACTTTGAGTGAAGGTGCTTTAAGACTTGAAAAGGTTCTTCACACTCAAAATCTCTTTTCAAACATGGTTCTTTAGGGACCCTGAAGTGCTTCTTCCATAGCATCACTCAAAGAACCCTGTGTTTAAATGTAATTACAATAAAGTGAACAGCACATTCAGCAGCTATTAGACCACAAACCACAACAAACACCAAATTACAGGACAGATCTCTCCTAAACACAAAACAATCAACTGTAAAAGTTTAAAATCACTCCGATATGAGAAGTTTAAAGGGTTAAAGTGTCTGACCTGCAGTGAAACACACTCGCAGCACACTGAGCCTCAACACTGCACTGAGAGAGCGCACATAACTCAGAATAGAGAGAGAGACAAAAACAGGGGCCTCTCACAGCCAGACAAACCACAGGAAGCAGCACAACTCTGCTGAAGTATAATTTACAATATATATATATGTATATATATATATATATATACACATATACATACATATATATATATATATATACACACATATATATATACATACATATACATATATATATATATATATATACACATACATATATATATATATATATATATATACACATACATATATATATATATATACATACATATATATATATACATACATATACATATATATATACATACATATATATATACATATATATATATATATATATATATGTAAACAAGTAAATTGACATCATTTCGCGGTCTAATAAGAGCCAATTCTCCCTTAAATGATCTCAAATTTTAACAAAATGTGTAAAAACTAACCAAGTTTAATTTTTAATGTTTATTTTCAGGTTGAAGAATGACGTTCACTAGAAATGAAAAGGCATTTTGTGTGTTAGAATATGCTCAAACACACTCAAACGAGAGTGAGCAGCGGCATTTTAGAGAAAATTTAATAAAAATGCACCAACTGGACACTGCACAAAAAGTTCAAAGAGGAAAGCTGTCTGTGCAGGACAAAGGGGTCTGGACGACCACCAGTATCAGAAGATATTACATTTGTGAAGCTGTGAAATCGGTTATTAAATCTACGTCCCTCTGAATTTCTTGTTCGAGTTTTGATAAATAAATCTTGTATTGTTCAACATGAAGCCTATTTAATTTCGTTTGCCGACGACGTGTAGTTACTCAGATACTCACATCTCAAATGATGTCAATTTTTTTGGGACACCCTGTATAACTCTCTCTCTCTCTCTCTCTCTCTCTCTTACTCTCTCACTCTCTCACTCTCTTCTTTTTCTCTCTCCTTCTTGGTCTCCTTACTTTCACTCTCTCCCTCAGCTCAGAAAACCTGCCTGTATTTTTAAGCACTAACACAGTGGCTCCAAACCGCTGTGTGTGTCTGTGAGTGATCGTGTCACACAGCAGACAGAGACACTCAAATGAGCTCTGACAAACAGAGAAAAGAGAGAGAGAGAGGAGAGAGAGAAGAGAGAGAGAGAGAGGGGCGAGCGATGTGCTTTTGTGCTTTTGTGCGTTTGGCTCAGATCTCTCTCTCTCTCTAATGGCTAAATCAGTCTCGGGCAGTTTTAGCTAAATGCTCCACACAAAAGGCTCTGAGTTTTTCTGCTGAACCAGCAGCTGAACAGACTTGCTTACTGACGCTGAGCGACTCTGTTATCCGTAAACACGGAGCGCATCACGCTCAGCGGCCCGAGAGGCATCCGGACACTTAACCGCTTACCCAGTCTAATCAGGTTCTTTAGGTTTCAAAGAACAAAAAAAAATACAGAGAAATAATGGAGAAAAGGAGAGAGAGAGAGAGAGAGAGAGAGAGAGAGAGAGAGAGAGAGAGAGAGAGAGAGAGAGAGAGAGAGAGATTCCCCAAAGGGCCCAAAGATCACGACCAGCAAATACTGGGTTTTGGCCTCGTCCCTTGCATACAGAGATTTTTGTTGATTTGTCGGACCACAAGACACTTTTCCACTTCCTCTTAGTCCATTTTTAATGAGCTCAGGCCCAGAGAAGGTGGCAGCATTTCTGGATCCTGTTTATGTGCAGTTTTTTTTTTGCGTTTTAGAGGTTTAACTTGCATTTGTGGATGCAGTGACGAACTGTTTTCACAGACAGTGGTTTTCAGAAGTGTTTCTGAGCCCATGCAGTGATTTCCACTACAGAATCATGTCTGTTTTTAATGCAGTGCTGCCTGAGGGCCCAAAGATCACAGCCAGCAAATACTGGTTTTTGGCCTTGTCCCTTACATACAGAGATTTCTCCAGATTCTCTGAGTCTTTTAATGATATTATGAACCGTAGATGATGAAAAGCAGAAGTTCTTTGCTATTTTATGTTGAGAAACGTTATTCTTGAATTGTTGCACTATTTGATGGTGCAGTCTTTCACAGAGTGGTGAACCCTCCTCATCTTTACTTCTGACAGACTCTCTTTTACACCCAATCGTTGCCCATCAACCACCAGTTTTTTTTAAGCATTACACAACTTTACCAGCCTTTTGTTCCCCCGTCCCAACTTTTTTCGAACGTGTTATTGGCATCAAATTCAAAATGGGCAAATATTTTTCCAAAAACGTTACAATTTCTCAGTTTCAACATTTGATATGTTGTCTTTGTACTATTTTCAATTAAACAGAGGGTTTAATTGATTTGCACATCATTAATTTTTTTTATTTACATTCTGTGCAGCATCCCAACTGTTTTGGAAATGGGGTTGTACTTCATTCTAAGTAGGTTACTCAGCGTGGTATCAGACTCGGTATTGGCAAGTACTAAAAGACGCACTCATACTCTGAAAGAAATGGTATCAATGAATCCCCATTTTTAAGTAAGGCACAAATGACCAAATGCTTTCTGGGGTCACTGTGGGCAGGTTTAGACTGTTTGTCACTTTAGAAGTATCAAAAATTAAGTGATTTCACTGCACGAGGTCAAACCAGAGTGACCATCGGTGCGGCTTTCTCTTTTTAACTTGAAAGCTTCATCTTCTGTCTGTAAAGCACTCTGAACTGCCACCAGCATGAAAAGTGTTAGACATATTTTATAAATTATTATAAATTAAATTATTATTATTATTAGTAGTAGTAGTAGTATTACTAGTACTGCTTTTTGAAAAATATCTGCCCATTTTGAATTTGATGCCAACAACATGTTCCAAAAAAGTTGGGACGGGGGCCTGTTTACCACTGAGTTTCATCACCTCTTCTTTAACATCACACTGTAAGTGTTTGGGAACTGAGGAGACACTGCTGTCGTTTAGAAAGTGAAATGTTTTCCATTCTTGTTTGATACAGGATTTCAGCTGCTCATCAGTTCAGGGGCTCATTTGTCATATTTTTCATTTCAAAATGTGCCAAATATTTTCAGTGGTGACAGATCTGGACTGCAGGCAGGTCAGTTTAGCACCAGGACTCTTTTAATACAGAGCAATGCTGTTGTAATACATGCAGAATGTGGTTTAACATTGTCTTGCTGAAATAATCAAGGCCTTCCCTGAAAAAGACGTCGTCTGGACGGCAGCATATGTTGCCAAAACATGTATATATCATTCAGCATTAATGGTGCCTTCACAGATGAGCAGGTCACCCATGCCATGTGCACTAATGCTCCTCTACACCATCATGAATACTGGCTATTGAACTGTGCGCTGACAACAAGCTGAGTGGTCTTTGGCCCGGAGGACACAGTGTCCATGATTTCCAAAAAGAATTTCAGATTTGTTGGATCATCAATGATGTTTAATCAAACATATCAATCATAAGCCAAAATTAAATCAATTATAAAATGGTCATGAAAACAAAACGTGCTAAACTTCATGGATCAAACCTATTATTCTAAGCTAACTGGCTGCATCTGGTGGTTGATTTCTGCCTGAATTGTCACTTTATAACAATGTGCATGTTGTCTTGAAATTTCTCAGTTACTTTTCAATAAAATAAGAAAAAATGCTTGTAGGTGTTTAGTGTTAACGACTGGTGTATAATTATCATCACTCAGCTTCGTGTTTATCAAAGTATCCTTCCTGTTATGAAGAGCAGGTTTTGTCTAAATGAAAGTTTTCTTTTCTAAACTTTTGTTAAAAGCTCATTTCAGCTTTTTGGCGAAGCTCTTTCAGCCCAAAAGTGGTTGAAACACCTTGTTTGACTGTTTCCCTTTAAAATAAACCTGATCAGGTGTTAAAATGGTAAGATACTGTAGATCATCTGGAATAAAAACATTCTGAAAAGCTACACGTCACCAAAAATCTGAGCAAGTCAATGAATCACGTTTACTGCCTACGTTAAAAAACTGAACAGAAATGAATAAAGCAGTTTACATTTCAGAGTCTTCGGCTCCCCCTGCAGGAGATTATGATATAATATATATGATATGAGATGATTATATGGGAGATTTATTGTTTGTCATTATTTTTGACCCCCAAATCAAGCTGTGATAACTGTAACTAACCTGAGTGACAGATGGGCTTATCTTCAGGTGTGCCAGGTTCTTCTCACCTGATCTACTCAGAGTGGCTCATAATGATCCACTCCACAGTCAGACACTGCCCCCTGCTGGCTTCAGGCATTCACTGACTCAGTAAATTAGGGGTGCCCAAACCTTTTTTGCCTTTTGGTGGCAAAAGTGCGATGCTGGTGGTGGGTACAAAACAAAATACAAATAAAGAAGGTAGGTAGCTTTTAAAAATGTATTGTAGCTCAGGGGATCTCAACCTTCTACACATCAAGGTCCAGCTGAAAGCATGAAAGCATGAAGGTCCACACGGAACATAAAACATAACTTTTTTTTGCTTAAAATTGAATTTCGGGGGAATTTTCAGCATCCTCATTTTTGAGTGTCTAGGATTTGTCAAGATTTCTGCATAATTAAACAGTTAAGATGTAAACAAAGTCATTCAGAGTGGTTCGATGAGAAATCCACGGTTCTAGAGTCAGAACTGCTCACTGCCAGATAACTTAAGTGCAATGTGAGGATGTTACAACATCAATGTCCAGACATTTAATGCATTTAAAGCAATTTATCATCACTTGAAGAAGATTTTGGCTTTTTAATTAGATTTTTTCATCTATCCTAATTAAATCTCTAATTGGACTTTTAATAATTGAATGATTTTCTCTTTGAAATCTATTGTTTTAATCATGTTTTATCCATGTTTTTAATTTCTATTCTCCTTTACTTTGTTAAATGACTTTATTTTCTCATTTGTAAAGCACTTTGAATGACAGCCGTGTATGAAAGGTGCTCTATAAATAAACTTTCCTTGCCTCAAACATATTTTTATACCCCATTCATGGTGGAGGGATATTTGCAGGTCGTTGTGAGGTAAAATAACCCCCAAATAAAATTTATTATCTCAGATTTTGCACTATTTATCATCAACATTTCATATAAAAGCTCAGAAGACACATGTGGGTTCAGGTAAACCTGCCTTGCCTTATCCATATTTTTAAAACCCATTCATGGTGGAGTGATTTTTGAGTGTCTAGCCCTGCGATATGCATCGTGTATCAGTGAACACATCAACAGAACGGAGGAAAATTAAGTGGAAAAACTAACTTTGTGCGCCGTTTTTAGATTAGATTAGATTAGATTACATTCAACTTTAATGCCACTGTGCAGAGTACAGGAACAGAGCCAATGAAACACAGTTAGCGTCAAACCAGACGTGCAAAATACAGTATTATTTACATATAAAGTGCAGGAAAGCAACCATAGTCAGTAATGCTGTGGTTGCAATACGTACAATTAAAGACGGTAGAGTGGTAAAAATATAGATACTGCAAGTATACTCAAAGTAATATAAATTATTATATTACAGAAAATACAACCCCATTTTCAAAAAAGTTGGGACGCTCTGCAAAATGTAAATAAAAACAAAATTAAATGACGTGCAAATCATTTAAACCCCTTATTTCATTGAAAATACTACAAAGACAACAAATCAAATATTGAAACTGAGAAACGTTATTGTTTTTTGAAAAATATTTGCCCATTTTGAATTTGATGCCAACAGCACGTTCCAAAAAAGTTGGGACGGGGGCAACAAAAGGCTGGTAAAGTTGTGTAATGCTTAAAAAAAAAAACACCTGGTGGTTGATTGGCAACAGGTCAGTAACATGATTGGGTATATAAGAGCATCTCAGAGAGGCGGAGTCTTTCAGAAGTAAAGATGAGGAGGGGTTCACCACTCTGTGAAAGACTGCACCATCAAATAGTGCAACGATTCAAGAATAACGTTTCTCAACATAAAATAGCAAAGAACTTCTGCTTTTCATCATCTACGGTACAGAATATCATTAAAAGACTCAGAGAATCTGGAGAAATCTCTGTATGTGAGGGACGAGGAGAAAAAACAGTATTTGCTGGCCGTGATCTTTGGGCCCTCAGACAGCACTATTATTAGTCTAGTAGCTGTTAATGAAGTGATGCTCTTTTTATTTGAGGGTCTCATTTCAGAGGGAAGATTTCAACCACTACCCTGTAGCTCAGCTCCAAGGGGCAAGGAGACACTTGAAAACAAGGGGTAGGGGTGAAAATAAGAAATGGGACTGGACCTTAAATAAGTTACACAGAGTATAAAAATGTTTGTTCTGTCAGTGTGTGCAGGGCTGAGGTTAGGGTCACTTTCTGGCACCGGTGGGCCCAAAGTTTTATTACACACTTCTATAACCTAAGAATAGCCCAGGCAGTTTGCACTGAAGTCCCTGTAGTTATGGAATCATAAGCCTTAGTTTGTAATAAGCCTGAGATTTTAAGGGGTTAAAGTGACTAAACTGTGTAAAAAGTGTGAGGATGTTACAACATCAATGTCCAGACATTTAATGCATTTAAAGCAATTTATCATCATTTGAAGAAGATTTTGGCTTTTTAATTTGATTTTTTCATCTATCCTAAATACATTTCTAATTGGATTTTTAATAACTGAATGATTTTCTCTTTGAAATCTATTGTTTTAATAATGTTTTATCCATGTTTTTAATTTCTATTCTCCTTTACTTGTTAAATGACTTTATTTTCTCATTTGTAAAGCACTTTGAATGACAGCCGTGTATGAAAGGTGCTCTATAAATAAACTTTCCTTGCCTCAAACATATTTTCATACTCCATTCATGGTGGAGGGATATTTGCAGGTTGTTGTGAGGTAAAATAACCCCCAAATAAAATTTATTATCTCAGATTTTGCACTATCATCAACATTTCATAAGCCTTAGTATGTAATAAGCCTGAGATTTTAAGGGGTTAAAATGACTAAACTGTGTAAAAAGCACACTGGATGCAGACAGAAGGAGTTTGGTCCAAGCTGCTCACCTCAAAACTCATCACCTTAATATACGTTTTGTAAATATTCAACATTAAAAAGTTACATAGTAAGAATGCTCATTTGTACAACTGTACAAATGTTCATTATTATACATATTCATATCATTCTGTAAATAATAGATATTAAATGTATTGTATTTTTATTTTATCTGTGTCTTAGTTTAATACTTGTTAACCCAGAGTCTATAAGCAGGTCCAAAGTTTTATTACACACTTCTATAACCTAAGAGTAGCTCAGCCAGTTTGCACTGAAGTCCCTGTAGCTACTGAATAATAAGCCTTTGTATGTAATAAGCCTGTGTTTTTAACCGTCGGTGTGCTCGTCTGGTCTGTTCAGTGTGTTTTATGTGTGACTCACCAAGTCTAATTCCTCATTAGTGTGACATACTTGGCTAAATAAAGTGATTCTGATCTGATTCTGATAACAAACCCTCCTGCAGGGACGGCTGAGACCTCTGAAAGGAGGTCGCTTCACAAGCTCACTGTGCCCGACACAATATCACTCTCAGTCTGGGTCTGTTTTCTAGTAATCAGTAACATGTAGTACTTTTAATGTGGTTTAATCTGATGGAATATGCCTACATATTATCCTTAGGCAGGTATAGGTTTCACTTTAGCAGTAGAGGTCGGGCCGAGCCGGGCCGGGTCTCAGAGTCGTGGGTACGAGCTTCAGTTTTAGGAGCATCAGGCGATCGTGAGTTCGGTCCCTGGGAGGCTTTGTTCACACAGCAGGTAAAAGTGGCCCAAATCTGATCTTTTTCTTCATTTGTGACACACTGTGTCAGTGCGAGCAGCAAAGAACACATTCAATCCATATGTGGTGCTGAAATCCGATGCGACTCAGTCTGAACAGCCAGATCGGAATTCATTAAACTTTTACGTCAATCCAACTCAACATTCGTCATAATTTCACACTGCTGAGACCTCGTACACTTTTATGCTGATGTTTCTGTTCAAAAAATTAGAAGAGACTCATCACAGCAGCTTGAAATACCACTGAACGAGGCTGCAGCATCATGGAAAACTCTGAAAGCAGAGTTTAAAGAATCCGAGGACGCGAACCAAAGAAGTGACCGCGCCCTTTTTGCAGCTGAAACACATTCTGGGTGATGAGCCCAGCTGTCAGTCAGTGAAGCTTCATGATGGCTCCTGTGATGCTGGTGAAGATGAAGCTGATCCTCCGGGAGCGACTGGCGTTCGTTGGCGGTCGTGATTGTTTACCTCTGGATGAGCCGTGAAGCAGCGTGACGCTCTGATCTTTAGAGGGTCAGTTTAGGAGCTGATCTGTTCAGACTGATGTTGCATACAGATCACATTTAAAAGATAATCTGAACAGCTAAACAAAAAATCAGATTTGGTGAGAAAATCAGATTTGTCCTTGCTTTAGGGCGGGTAGGATGCCCCCCATCACTTAACGTGATGCTAGTCAGCGCAGGCGTCTATTAGCTGACATAACAGAACTGGCGGTTGGCGCTTTCCTCCGAGCACGTTCAGCTGTCTAATTACGTTGCGTGAGCTGAGGACTCGGAGGAAGCCTGTGTTTGCCTTTGCCCTCCTAACGCTGGTGGTATGGTGTGACTGGGGGAGTCCTAACTAGTAGGTGGAACTGCATACGACTCAACTGGGGAGGAAATTGAGGGACAAATCCATAAAAACACACGGATTGTAATGGGAGTGAGGCTCTGCGCTGTAGTGCATGTGCTGTTTTTGGTACCTTAGAACCGTCTGGATCCAACTCGTTTACACACGACACGTACTCCTGCATGGCCTGCTCTTTACTCATATCCCCCAGATCCTTCCACGCTGTCCTACAAAACAACACACACTCCGCTCAGGGTCGTGACCTCACACAGAGACAGATTCAGAACATACACAGATCATGCCTCAAGTAAGGCGTCTTCAAGATTTCTGCATAATTAAAGGGTTAAGATGTAAACAAAGTCATTCAGAGTGGCTCGATGAGAAATGCACGGTTCTAGAGTCAGAATCGTTCACAGCCAGAGAACTAAAGCGCAATGGGAGGATTTTACAGTAATGTCCAGACATTTAAAGCATTTAAAGCAATTTATCATCATTTCAAGAAGATTTTGGCTTTAAATTTGTCTTTTTAATTTGATTTTTAATTATTCTAATTTAATTTTCAATTGGATTTTTAATGTGATTTTTTCTTATAAATCTATTGTTTTAATCATGTTTTTAATTTCTATTTTCCTTTACTTTACTATTTAAATGACTCTGTATTTTCTCATTTCTAAAGCACTTTGAATGACAGCAGCGCACACCGGTCAGGCATAACATTCTGACCACCTCCTTGTTTCTACGCTCACTGTCCATTTTATCAGCTCCACTTACTATACAGGTGCACTTTGTAGTTCTACAGTTACAGACTGTAGTCCATCTGTTTCTCTGATACTTTGTTAGCCCCCTTTTACCCTGTTCTTCAGTGGTCAGGACCCCCATGGACCCTCACAGAGCAGGTCCTATTTGGGTGGTGGATCATTCTCAGCACTGCAGTAACACTGATGTGGTGGCGGTGTGTTAGTGTGTGTTGCGCTGGTCTGAGTGGATCAGACACAGCAGTGCTGCTGGAGTTTTTAAACACTGTGTCCACTCACTGTCCACTCTATTAGACACTCCTACCTTGTCAGTCCACCTTGTAGATGTAAAGTCAGAGACGATAGCTCATCTGCTGCTGCACAGTTTGTGTTGGTCATCCTCTAGTCCTTCATCAGTGGTCACAGGACGCTGCCCACAGGACGCTGTTGGCTGGATATTTTTGGTTGGTGGACTATTCTCAGTCCAGCAGTGACACTGAGGTGTTTAAAAACTCCAGCAGCACTGCTGTGTCTGATCCACTCGCACCAGCACAACACACACTAACACACCCCTAGGTGGTTCCTATCACCACCACTGTAAATCTTCTCATCTTCTCATATGACCACAGTAACAATCAGACAGATATTTTGCCAGAATCACCCATAAAAGTAACTTTTTCACAAGTATTATTTCAGTTTTTTGATTAACGAGTTGTTTATACAGTTTTATGCGTGAGTTTAAAGCCACGCCCTCTACAGAGAGCAAACTCAATAAAGCCAGTTTTCTGGAAATAAAATGTGCCACAATTTTTGCACAGGACAGCTTTTTCCTCCAGTATGTTAAATTAAGCAAATAAACAAAAATCGTGCATTAAAATGTGCAGAAGTGTGTGCAGTGTTAGATAAACACACTGTTACAACTGAGACCCCCAAAGTAAACAATCAGAGAACTCCATATAATATCCCCCCATATACATTCTTTTTATTCCCTTTTACCCACAGATTCATCATAAAATCACTGCAGATGTCATGTAAACACAAAACCACAAAAGTTAACTACACACGGGACAGAATCTTTACACAATCACCTCCGTACAAAAAATAACGATAAAAATAAAAATAAATAAATAAATAAAAATAAAATGCAAATAAAATAAACGATTGTGTTTGTGTATCAATTATCATCACAAGATATTTGTTGAGAATATTAATTACCATCATATTTGTTTGTATATTAGTCATCATAAGATAATTTCCTGCCAATATAATAACTGACTCAAACAACATAAACTGAACTTACCATTTTCTTTGACCCTCAAAATCGAAGAAACCTGGTTTGGGCGTGTTGCATTTTCCAACTTTTGCCTGTAAAACAAAAACAACCAGTTATTGCTAACTAGATACAGGTGAGCTGATAGCTAGGGTGCTGCTAGGATATCTCAAGTGGTTGCTGTGGTGTTCCTAGATGGTTGCTTGAGTATCCCAAGTGGCTGCTAGGGTGCTGCTCTGTGGTTGCTAGGGTATCCCAAGTGGTTGCTAAGGTGTTGCTAGGTGGTTGCTAGGGTGTTGCTAGGCAGTTCCAAGGGTATCTGAAGTAGTTGCTAGGGAGTTGCTAGGTGGTTGCTGGTATATCCCAAGTGGTTGCTATGGTGTTGCTAGGTGGTTGCTAGGGTACCCAAAGTGTTTGCTAGGGTTTTGCTAGGGTATCCCATGTGGTTGCTAGGGTGTTGCTAGTGGTTGCTCGGGGATCCAAAGTGGTTTCTAGGGTGTTGCTAGGTTAACCCAAGTGGTTGCTAGGGTGTCGCTATGTGGTTGCTAGGGTGTTGCTAGGGTATCCCAAGTGGTTGCTAGGGTGTCGCTATGTGGTTGCTAGGGTGTTGCTAGGTGGTTGCTAGGGTATCCCAAGTGGTTGCTAGGGTGTCGCTATGTGGTTACTAGGGTGTTGTTAGGGTATCCCAAGTGGTTGCTAGGTGGTTGCTAGGGTATTCAAAGTGGTTGCCAGGGTGTTGCTATATGGTTGCTAGTGTACCCCAAATGGTTGCTAAGGTCTTGCTATGTGGTTGCTGGTGCATCCCAAATGGTTGCAACATCCACCACTACTAAACACGTGGCAGTGCAGGTCAGTCTGGCCTGCGTTCGTGTAATTGTGTGAAGTTTCTTGCCCCAAGATTGTCCCCAAACACAAAACTACACCTGTAAATGCACCAGCCACGTCATCAGGAGCACCTCCACCTCTCAGGTAGGGCTGTCAAGATCATGAATTTTTAGCTGACGATTAATTGTCTCATAAATAACTGCTATTAACGGTTTACTGTGTTTTCTTGGTCATTGTTTGCAACTATTCAAATACAAGTCTAGGACAAACTGGCCAAACTGGCTGCTTACTATCTATGCGCATTGTAGTTAAAGGAGAACTCCACCGATTCACCGAAATTCTACATAATTAAATGGTTATGATGTAAACAGAGCGGTTCAAAGTAGTTCAGAGTGGTTTGGTGTGAAACGCTCTGTTCTAGAGAAACTTACTGAGTCAGAACTGTTCACAGTGGTGGGTGACAGGAACCAGACGTCCACCTCTAAAAGCTCCTTCACAGAAAGTTACTACATGAAATGGTTATGAATTCACTGCCTGATGACTGAGACACTGTTTTAGGATAGTTTCGTAATAACTTTTTGGCTTAAAACAATCCCTGGCTCCTTTCACCACCACTGTAAAGAAATCTGACTCTCTACAATCAACCATTTCACACCAAACCACTCTTAACGACCCTGTCGACATCTTAAACACTGAATCATGCAGACATTTTGAAAAATTGGGTGGGTGTTTCTTTAAAAGTGGCCAGTTAGTGGAAGCACAAGGTGGGTGTTTCCGATAAAGTGGCCAGTTAGTGGAAGCACAAGGTGGGTGTTTCTAATAAAGTGGCCAGCTAGCGGAAGCACAAGATAGTTGTTTCTAATAAAGTGGCCAGTGAGTGGAAGCACAAGGTGGGTGTTTCTGATAAAGTGGCCAGTAAGTGGAAGCACAAGGTGGGTGTTTCTAATAAAGTGGCCGGTTAGTCGAAGTACAAGGTAGTTGTTTCTAATAAAGTGGTCAGTTAGTGGAAGCACAAGATGGGTGTTTCTAATAAAGTGGACAATGAGTGGAAGCACAAGGTGGGTGTTTCCGATAAAGTGGCCGATTAGTCAAAGTACAAGGTGGGTTGTTTCTAATAAAGTGGTCAGTTAGTGGAAGCACAAGGTGGGCGTTTCTAATAAAGTGGCCAGTGAGTGGAAGCACAAGGTGGGTGTTTCCGATAAAGTGGCCAGTAAGTGGAAGCACAAGGTGGGTGTTTCCGATAAAGTGGCCAGTAAGTGGAAGCACAAGGTGGGTGCTTCCGATAAAGTGGCCAGTAAGTGGAAGCACAAGGTGGGTGTTTCCGATAAAGTGGCCAGTAAGTGGAAGCACAAGGTGGGTGTTTCCGATAAAGTGGCCAGTAAGTGGAAGCACAAGGTGGGTGTTTCTGATAAAGTGGCCAGCGACTGGAAGCACAAGGTGGGTGTTTCCGATATAGTGGCCAGCAAGTGAAAGCACAAGGTGGGTGTTTCTGATAAAGTGGCCAGCTAGTGGAAGCACAAGGTGGGTGTTTCCGATAAAGTGGCCAGTTAGTGGAAGCACAAGATGGGTGTTTCCGACAAAGTGGGTGTTTCTGATAAAGTGGCCAGCGACTGGAAGCACAAGATGGGTGTTTCCGATAAAGTGGCCAGTAAGTGGAAGCACAATGTGGGTGTTTCTGATAAAGTGGCCAGTGAGTGGAAGCCCAGGGTAGGCGTTTCTAATAAAGTGGCCAGTGAGTGTAGCTGTTGCTGTAGTAACGGTCTCTGCTCTTACCTGTTTGTACCTGGCGTAAAGGTACAGCAGCTTGTCTCGCGGGGCTGTGTGTACCAGCTCTCTGACTCGATCAGCTGCACTTTCAAACTCCTCCTGAAGCTCAGAGCCCTCAGAGTCCGGCGAGGACGAGCGCGAGGCCATCGCACTAACAATAACAACAATAACAACAAAATAACGGACAATAACCGGACCGCAGTGGACAAACCTGCAGCTCTGCTGCAGCACTTTCACAATCACCGCTCACTCACATTCAACATCCGGGTCACAGCAGCGCCCGCATTCAGGCAAGCCCCGCCCCTGCTGCGCTCTGATTGGCTACAGGCTCTCACCTTGTGAAGATGACGCTGTGAGTAAGTAAATAAATAAATAAATGAAATAATAGAAAAAAATGAGACGTAAATAAATTAAGAAATATTTTAAAAGCAAATAAATGTGAATCTGATAATTAAACTCTGAAACGGAGCTTTTTTTGCATCGTTTATTATTTTATTATTTACTGGATTATTTGCTGCGTCATCTACTAATCATTCACAGGATTATTTAGTCTTCTTACTAGTAATAATATAATAATTATAATCATTAACACATGTTGTTATTGTTATTATTATTGTTATTATTATTGTTATTATTATTATTATTATTATTATTATTATTATTATTAGCAGTAGTATTGCCTGATTTATTTTTTGTTATTGATTAGAATATGTGAATCATTTGATTATTTCCCACAATAATGCTGCTTTATTATTAACTGGCTTTATTTCACATTCACTTACTAACTTACAGGTTCAGTGCACCACTGGCTGGATTGTATGTTATATTATATTTCAGATATACACTGTTAAAACATTCATAGCAGATACTAAATCATTCATAGTAGATACTGAATAATCTAATAATTCTCTGTTTTACTTCACAGTATAAAAATAACTTACTATTTAAACTAAGTTTAACATTAATTTGCCATTTATCATTTACGCTTGTTTAGTTTGCACAGAGGCTCGATTCATACAGTTTTCTTACATTTTAAATCGTTACGTGTTAAAAAGGCGCTACAGGTTGTTTGTTTGTTTGTTTGTTTGTTTTAAAGCCGCTCAGATTAGAGGCGAGTTTTGCCGGAAATCGGGTGGAAATAAAAATCAGCTCCTATTGGTTCCGGCGCGGTTCAGGGCTGCGTCCCAAACCGCCCACTGCACTGCTGCACTGTTAAAAGATGGTTCTTCAAGGGTTCTTTAGGAAAGGCAATGGTTCTATGTAGAACCATGCGTCCTATATAGAAACGTTTCATGCTTAAATGGTCGTTTGTATGGTGAAACTGAATGGAGGACGTTTTGTCCCATATATGAAAAAAAATGTTCCAAATGTGTTAATCAAATATATTTTTTGCAATGTATGAAAACGGAAAAAAAATATTTATTAAATATATATTTTAAGATGCGTTTATTTGTATTCGTTATTATATTTTTTCAGTTATATGTAGTTTTAATACTGCGTTATTGCTTTATATTAATTTAATATTTAATGTAAAGCAGTAATTCCTTTATTCCCTGTTTTATTGGTTGTTTAAAATAATTTTAAACGCTGCAGTGCTAATAGAGTCCACAGGAGGGCGCTGTGCCCAAGCTTTTCTCAGAAACGGGTTTACAACATTGTAGGTATTACATTTGTTCAATAATAATAATAATAATAATAATTATTATTATTATTATTATTATTATTATTATGTACAGTGTCCAGCTGTCTGTCTTCCTGTGTCTCACCCATGAGTGTTGGATAAAAGCAGGATTTTTACTGAAACAGCACTTTGTTTTAGAGCTCTACTGAACTCTGAGCCGCCTGCTGATTAACCCTTTAAAGGACTCATATCCTACATTTCCTCCTTACTGTTTGTTAGAAAGTTGTTTATGCGGTAAAAACAGTCATAATTCATATTTACATGATCATTTCCCGAACTCTGTTTGTCCCTCACAGTTAAACAGGCTGGTTTTGTTGCTGTGCCTTTAACGATTTACTGATTTTTTACTGATGCCTTTTAAACGGCTATAGGCCGAGTGGGCACATAGACGTTAACATGCAGATTTTGTGACATCACAAAAATAATGATATTCAGAACAGGAAGTTTAGTTTTTGTATATGAACTGTATGAATGATGTGATTTGACACTTGAGCATTGTTTACAGATGACATCAGACTCTTTTACTCTTCACAGAGTTATAAATACTTTTAGTTTTAACACTTACTTTAAACTTAGATCAGTTTTATAGCAGATACTGAATAATTCATAGTAACTACTGAATAATTCACAACAGATCCCGATTAATTCATGGTAGATACTGAATAATTCATAGTAGATACTGAGTAAGTCATAAAATATTCATAGCAGATACTGAATATTCATAATATATACTGAATAATTCATAGTATATACTGAATAATTCATAGTATATACTGAATAATTCATAATATATACTGAAGAATTCATAGTAGATACTGAATAAGTCATGAAATATTCATAGCAGATGCTGAATATTCATAATATATACTAAATAATTCATAGTAGATACTGAATAAGTCATGAAATAGTCATAGCAGATGCTGAATATTCATAATATATACTGAAGAATTCATAGTAGATACTGAATAAGTCATGAAATAGTCATAGCAGATGCTGAATATTCATAATATATACTAAATAATTCATGAAATATTCATAGCAGATACTGAATATTCATTATAGATACTGAATAATTCATAGCAGATACTGAATACTCATAATATATACTGAATAATTCGTGAAATATTCATAGCAGAAACTGAACAATTCATAGCAGATACTGAATACTTTATAAGTATTCAGTACTTTGTAAGTTTTAAGAGTAATAACTGAGTAATAAGCGTAGAGTGTTAAGGGTTTCAGCACTGATCCACATACAAAGTGTTAAATGTTGTTATAAATTGTTCAATTTTAAATGCCAGACAGACCCAACAGCTCCCATAATTCCACACTTCCACACTCCCAAACAAAAACAAAGCTTCTTTTCCTCTTTCCTCCCTGAAACAGGGAAACAAGTACGAGTGCAGCACTTTTACCTTTCAGCTCAACAGCGCCGCCCTCCTGTTTGACCTGGGCTGCGTCTCAGCGCAGTGATGTCGAGGCCGTTAGTGGAGGCTGAGAGATCTGAGCGCCGCTGAGCTCTGATGAACGATGGGATCTGGAGCGCTGACGGAGCGTGAGGACACAGCTGGACTGCAGCTGCTTTACTGGATCATTACTGCAGAAAGTGGGTCAGTACAATCAGGATCATTAGGACTTCTGGACTTCAGAGAACTTTAACTTCTTAAAACCTCCCATATTCTCAGGCCCATTAAATCCTGAGGCCCATTATTTCAGTAAAGACATCTACATCAGTGAAGGCTGAGTGAGGTACTCTTCACTCCGTCACTCTTCCACCAATGTTTAAATACGGTTATGATGGTTATGATGTAAACAGAGCAGTTCAGAGTGTCAGAGTGGTTTGGTGTGAAACGCTCTGTTCTAGAGAAACTTACCGAGTCAGATCTGTTCACAGTGGTGCTGACAGGAACCAGACGTCCACCTCTAAAAGCTCCCTCACAGAAAGTTCCTACATGAAATGGTTATGAATTCACTGCCTGATGACTGAGACACTGTTTAAGATAGTTTTATGATAAGGTTTTGGTGTAAAATATACATACACACGTAAATGTATCCATATTTTATGTATATATGTATGTATATGTATATAAAAATTGACATATTCAAATGACCTTTACAATACCTCTCACTGAAGCAGAGGGGAAAAACTCTGCACTGTCAGCTTTATTTAATTCACGCTGTTCCTCACGGTTGCTGGTTGGCAGTTTTCTTCATGTATGTCTTCTGGAAATATGCTCATGAAAAATTCATGTATTTAAAATGAACCTTCAAAATTCTCAACATTATTTTGGCTCTGTGGAGCAAACACTTTGCCATATTCCAATAACAGATAATGAAGTACCTTGAAGTAATGAAGTAACTTGCCACAAAATGGCAGTACAACACCAATACTGATCACTACTGAGGAGACTGTTCAGTTCCATCATCGCTCAAAAGAGCTCAGTAAGCCTGAGATTAAGAGCTATATTTATATATACATGTATGTATGTCGCTGCTGTCGGAAGAAAACCTTGTATCTCCATTTTTGTGATTTTCAGTTTTTGACATAATTTGAAAATACCTTTTGCTCTTTATATATGTAAATTTCATAAAGATTGGACCAAAACAAACGACTCAAAATGACCTGGAAAAAAGTTTGGTTCCATTGACTTACATTAAAAGTAAAGCAGGTTTTTTCCTTCTCCTGCAAAGTTACCATTTTGGAGATACAAGGTTTTGTTTCAACAGCAGACACATATGAATTCATCATTTTCCATCATCAACATTCCATATAAACTCAGAAGACTCGTGTAGGTTCACTGGTGGTTCTGGATAGTAAATAAAATGTCTATATTTGTGTTGTAGTCATGGCGACCCCTGGTTCCTATCACCACCACTGTAAAGACATCTGAACCATTTCACACTAAACCACTCTGAATCTCTCTGTTTACATCTCACACACTGAATTATTGAACAATTTGGTGGACTTTCCCTTACAGGAGTGAGGAATGGACGTCTGGGCTGGCCGACAGGTCCTGAGCATTTAAAGGGTTAAAGTTCTCTGTCATTAGACGACATTATAGTGCAAAATGTAATGCATATTAAACATATTATTATTATTACTATTATTACAATTATTATGTTTATATCATATATCTGTCCACTTTATGAATACACTATAAATCAAATGAACACTTAAAGGATGACGTCTGCACACTTACTGTACTTTTATAATGAAAGATATTTCATGCTGTATATATATATATATATATATATATATATATATATATCATATTTACAGTTGCATACACTGTATATATATAATAACAATAACCTTGGTTTCAATATTAGTAATTAATAGTTGTAGCAGTTGTATTATAAGATAGTAATAGCAATAATTATGATTGTTTTATATTCTAGATAATATATATTCTAAATAATAAAAATAGCAACAACAACAACAACAACAATAACAATAATAATAACAACAATAATAATAATAATAACAATAATAATAATAATAATACAACCTTCAAAGCCAGTTTATTTAAACAGCACATTTCATCAAAGGCAATTTAAAGTGCTTTACATCAATAAAAGCTAAAAGGAACATCAAAAGGAAAAATAGACATTGAGTGAAAAATAATAGAATCATGATCAAAATCATAAAAACATAAATAAAGGAAAAGTACAAAGTTCATAAAGTAGAATAAACACATAAATCAAACAAAGGACTTCAGTGTTATTAAAATGAGCTCATCATCGTTAAAGCGCAGTAAGAATAGAGTACAGTCTTTAAAAAAGACGGTTCTTCAAGGGTTCTTTAGTAAAGACAATGGTTCTATATAGAACCATGAACACTCATTTGCATGCTTAAATGGTTTTGCATGGTGAAATGGTTCTTCAGATTGATGGAAAATGTAGATGGTTGTAGATGGTTCTAGATAAATCCTTTTTTGAAAATGGTTCTCTATAGCACTGTAAAGGGTTTCTATTATACAACACTGCATGGTGAAACGGTTGGTGGAGAATGTGTTGTATAAGGTTCTACATAGCAGCAAAAAGGGTTCTGCTATCGTATACAAGCTTGACATCCTAACAATAGAAGCACTAGAAGAACGCTTTAATGTGCTATAGAGAACCATTTTTAAATAAGGATTTATCTAGAACCATCTACATTCTCCATCGATCTGAGGAACCACTTCACCATTTAATCATGTAAGTGGTTAAATAGTTCTCTGAGTGTTTTCACTGAAGAACCCTTGAAGAACCATCTTTTCTAAGAGTGCAGAGCAGGTTTAGGAGCTCAGTCTTCATCATAGGAGAAACGTTTTTAACCTGTATTTAAATATTTCTGCACTTATGGCTCATTTAAGATCTTTAATATCGTCACAGAACCTTTAAAGTTAATAAGAGGATGAAAAGCTGGACTCGACGCTCTGTTTTCATTTGTTTGTGTTGTTTTTCTTTTAATGCAGTTTTCTTTATTCCTGTTCGTCTGTGCGTCATGACGCAGCACGCCCGGGGAGGCAGGGGAGGAGGGCGGGACCGAAGAAGAGAGGGGGCGGGGCCAACGGAGGAGGGAGGGGCAGGTGGAGTGGGCGAGAGAGGACTCAGTCGCAGTCTCCTCCTCTCTCTCTCTCTCTCTCTCTCTCTCTCTCTCTGATCCTTCAGGCTGAGTTTATTTACTCCGCGCGGACCTGCAGCGATGGCGCTGAGCGCGCGATAGAGACACGCGCACAAACAAGCAGCAGAGAGACTACAGCGGAGGAGTGAGACAGTGAGAGTGTGAGAGTGACTGAGAGTGTTCGTTTGGACCCTGAAGATGAAGTTCGCAGAGCACCTCTCAGCCCACATCACCCCGGAGTGGAGGAAACAGTACATCCAGTATGAGGTAGTGTCTCTCTCCCTCTCCCTCTCTCTCTCTCTCGGGGGTCACGCGGGTCACAGAATTTTAGGTGCTTTAACTGCAGGAGCCTCTCGGTGAACTTCGGAGCTGAATTATGGCCCGTGCTGAGTCAGACCACCCTGCTGAACGAGGACCATTAGAACCTTAAACCTGCTGGTTTTGCTTTCTAATGAGAACTGGCTTCATGTTCTCCACTAGTTTCCTGTAGAACACCTTTAGATCCCGTTAGGAGACCATCAAACGCATGTAGAATCAGCCTTTGGTCACCTGTTAGACCTTTAGAGTCCTTTGCACTGTGATATCAACCTGTTATAAAAGCCAGAACATGTTATAGAACCATGAGGAACCGACAGAAACACTTCATGGGTTCTAACCTATGTTTTTTTTCAGCAGGGTAATTAATTCTGGGCTATTCTCGTTTATCCTGAGTCATTCTGGCTTATTCTCATGGTTCTCCAGGGGTTCTTTAGTAAAGTGAACCATTTGCATGCTTAAATGGTTCTTTGCATGGTGAAAAGGTTCTTCAGATTGATGGAGAATGAGTTGTGTCTGGTTCTATATAGAACCTTTTTGAAAATGGTTCCATATAACGCCAAAAGGGGTTCTGCTATTGTGTGCACACTTGACATCATAACAATAGCAGAACGCTTTTCGGTGCTATATAGATCCATACACAGCACGTTCTCCATCGGTCTGAAGGACCGTATGAGCATGAAATGGTTCGATATAGAATTCATGGTTCATGGTGTAAAGAGCGCTTGGAGAACCGTGTAGGTTCTGCATTATTGAGGGTTATTCCAGTTATCCTGACCCATTCAGACTTATTTGAGATCACTTTGAGTTAAATTATTCAGAATTATTCTCATTTAATCCAGTTTATTCTGTGTTATTGTGATTTATCCCAGTTTATTCTGGCTTATTCAGATTTATCCTGGCTTATTCTGGCTTATTTTGACTAATTCCGTGGATAATTCTCTCTTATCCTGGCTCATTTTGAGCTGAATTTCTCTGAATTATTGTGGAGTACTGTCACGTATCCTGGATTATTCTGAGTTGTTCTGATTTATTCTGATTGTATTCTAATAGCTTCTGGTTTATTCTGTGTTATTTTCACTAATTCTGAGTTATTCTGGTCAATTCTGATTTATGATGGCTCATTCTGAGTGAAAGTGTTCTGAATTTCAGTGCGGTATTCTCAATTAGGCTGGTTTATTTTGAGAGCTTCTTATTTATCCTGTCTTAATCTGGATTATTCTGATTAATTCCAGGTAATTCTGATTCAGATTATTTGGAATTATTACTTTGGAGTTATTCTCACCTGTCCTTGGTTTCCTCTGGGTTATTTTGATTTATCCTGATTTACTCTGGCTTATTCTGGGTTATTCTGATTTATCATGGTTTACTCTTGTTTATCCTGGGTTATTCTTATTTATCCTGATTTACTCTGGCTTATTCTGGGTTATTCTGATTTATCATGATTTACTCTCGTTTATCCTGGGTTATTCTGATTTATCCTGATTTACTCTGGCTTATTCTGGGTTATTCTTATTTATCATGGTTTATTCTGGCTTATTCTGGGTTATTCTTATTTATCATGGTTTATTCTGGTTTATCCTGGGTTATTCTGATTTATCCTGATTTACTCTGGCTTATTCTGGGTTGTTCTGATTTATCCTGATTTACTCTGGTTTATCCTGGGTTATTCTGATTTACTCTGACTTATTCTGGGTTATTCTGATTTATCCTGATTTACTCTGGTTTATCCTGGGCTTATTCTGATTTACTCTGGCTTATTCTGAGTTAGTCTGATTTATCGTGATTGACTCCGGGTTATTCTGTCTTATATTGAGTCATTCTGGCTCATTCTGAGTTAAATTATTCTCAGTTATTGTGGATTTTTGTCATTCCTGCTGGTTTATTCTGACTTTTCCTGGTTTATTCGGGATCATTCTGAATTAACCTGCCCTTTCCTGAGTTTTCGCAGCTCTCTGACCTTTAGCAGAAGGCCATAAAAACAGGAAAGAGCTGTAAAAGCCTAAGAGCCGCCCGCTTTGACAGATATGACAGTTCTGAGGTCCACAGGGAGAGATTCAGTATGAAATACGCGCAGAGCAAACAGGTTCCAGCGTTAAAGAGCGGCTTCAGCTTCATGCAAAACATGTTGGCTTTTGAAATAGGAAGCGATTAATCTGTATAAACGCTCGTCTGCGCGCGGCCACTCTGTGCTATCAGTCTGGTAGATGTCAGTGCTGGTCAGCGCGCCTGTATGTATTGTGTGCGCGGCTCTTTGTCTTCGTCCTGTTCAGCCTCGAAGCCCTTTTTAATCGCTCTTTATCTGTCACTCTCCCACTGGGACTGAAAAAGCAGCCATATGTCAAGAATTCTCTTTTAGAGTGAATTAATTCGTCCTATATGACCACACACACGCGCCGCTGTCTCTGACCACACTGCGTTTAAAGGAAAGCTAGGAAAGTCGGTCATTTTTAATGCAACAAAAGACAAAAATGCAAAAGTTCTGATAGAAATTGGCCAATATTTACATTTTATTTTTAGACTTGGGTGTGATAACTAAGCTAAGCTCTCTTTCTGAGCTGAATTCACTTTCAATTTGAAAAGAAAACCATTTTTTTAAAAATATAAATGTGATTTCAAGAGAAATTGGCTTGAGCACTACGAGAAGAAGCCACGTTTTGTGCATTTCTAGCTTCAGTTATGAATTTATTTATTTTTTAAATCATGCAGGAAAAAATGTGTCTGCATTGTCGTTTTTGTTTGCGTTGTTTTTTGGTTAAAAATCCATTTTAGACACTTTACTTTTTAACAGCACGCTGTATTTTCTGGGTTCAGATGGGTTTTTACATGGCGGCGGTCCCTCAGCCTCCTGAACGCCTTTCGCTTTATGAATTATGAACAAAGAAAAGCGCTCAGCTCTCCATCTCACACTGAAATCTGCTGCAATGTGAAGACACCAAGATCACTGCGGCCACTCAAACCCACAGCAGCCGTCAAATGAATACAGAAATCTGGCCCAAAATGTAGAATCTAAATGTTCTTTAAATCATGAGAATATTACACAAAACTGTCATATTAAAGGAAAAATGACAGCGGTACATGGGTAGTAAGTAGTAAATAAGAATATAGATCATATATAATGTAAATGTTTTCCTCACAGCTCTTCAGAGTAACACTCTCTCTGTAAAGATCTTTCTCTGTATTGTAAAGTTTAGGATGTGTTGACCTTATATAACGGTGCGTGTCTTTGTCACAGGGCTGTAAACCTCTCTGTTACGCTCACTTATCCCTCAGACTGATGATTTCATGGCTAATTTTTCTCTGCCGTTAAGCTGTTCGTGTTCCTGCTGTGAGATTATTGATCAGATCCTGAAGCTATGAATCACTAATCAGTGTGTGTGAGTGGTGTGAGGGGGAAAAGGGAGAAAGTCTTTGTCTGAATTCCTGAATCAGTAATCAGGTGTGAGCTGGTTTGTGATGTCGGTGACCATCGAAACAGTAACAGCAGCAGCGCTTTCGCTGATACTCTGCACTTATTCTGTACTGAGCTGAAAAGCAAGGCACATGTGCTACAGAGATGTGCTGTAGATGTTCTATTTTGTATGTATATATATATATATATATATATATATATATCGCTGCTGTCAGAACAAAACCTTCTATCTCCATTTTTATCGTTTTTCAGTTTTTACATAATTTGAAAATGCCTGCTGCTCTTTACATTGCGTGTAAATTTCATGATAAATGGACCAAAAGATTTGGCCAAAAGAATTCTTAGAAAAAAGTCTGGTTCTATTGACTTACATTAAAGGTAAAGTATGTTTTTCCTTCTCCTTTAAAGTTACATATGACGTCATTTGAAAATGCCTGCTGTCCTTACAAAGTGTGTGAATTTCATGATGAATGGACCAAAAGAAATGATCCAAACATGACCTGGAAAAAAGTCTGGTTCCATTGACTTACATTAAAAGTAAAGTAAGTTTTTTCCTTCTCTTGTTTTTTCTTCTCTTTACCAATATGTATGTATATAAATATATACAGATATTGCTGTTGTCGGAACCAAAACTCCAAAACTTACTTTACTTTTAGTGTAAGTCAATGGAACCAGACTTTTTTCCAGGTCATTTTGGGCCGTTTCTTTTGATCCATTCATCATAAAATTTACACACAATGTAAAGGGCAACATGTGTTTTCACATTATGTAAAAACTGAAAAACAAATATATATATATATATATATATATATATATATATATATATATATGAACAAACGCAGCAACAAGTTTCTCTGTGTTTACATGCAGATAAAACAGAGCTGCTGTGTCTGGTCCACTCACGCCAGCGCAACACACACTAACACACCACCACCACGTCAGAGTCACTGCAGTACTGAGAATGACCCACCACCCAAATAGTACCTGCTCTGTGAGGGTCCATGGGGGTCCTGACCACTGAAGAACAGGGTAACAAAGTATCAGAGAAACAGATGGACTACAGTCTGTAACTGTAGAACTACAGAGTGAGACTATGTGGTCAGTGGAGCTGATAAAATGGACAGTGAGTGTAGAAACGAGGTGATTTATGCTTTATGATTGATGAATGTTATTATGTGTGTTGGTCACTAGTGCTCTGTGGATGACACTGTGGTATTGAGTTATCCAGTGAACTGGTGGGTGGACTGTATGGGAATGATTTGCTGAGAGCAACACGAAGGACGAGACAGGCGGAAAAGCAATCTGCCAGTTCACACTGCGACATTCAGTCAGTTGGTTCAATATAAAAATATGACTTTCGCAACAATTACATTACATTACGTTATGATATTGTTTCCCTTGAGCGGTCTCAGCGACAGTGTTGGCGTGGGATGCAGTTGCCTCAGCTCTTTAGGATTTAATATTAGCCCATTAGATGAGTGACAGTCTTTAATTGACAGTAATTCTGACTGTACTTATTTATGTTTGTCTGTATTAGAGA